TAGGTCCACAAGTACTAAAGAAATAGACCAATATAAATCATAAAAATATTTATTTCACTTATTTCCACAAAAAATGCTAATGAGAATTCAGGAAAACCCAAATAAATTCTATTCGTTGTCGGTATTTGTATTGTAATCTGAAATAATCAATTTTCTTTTCTTAATTGGCACTACTTTTATCGCTCGAAATAAACCATTTTTCAAGCTTTTAAAAAAAATTCACTATTTTTTTGAAAGAATAAAAGATATACAAAATTTTGCTTCAATGTATTAATACGAGAATATAATTACATTATTTTATAATATATTTTATTTTATAGTAATTCCACTCTCTCTGTTTCTCTCTATCTATCTATCTATTTCTTTCATACAAAATTATTAATATTTCAAAGAATCACAAGAAAATTTGATCTTGTAAAATCACATGTAACATATAATATTTATTCATTTAATCTTTTAACGCGATTATTAATCTTTGAAACTAATGGTTATTTAAAGAAAAATTAAAACAAAATTACACAAACATTACATATATACATATACGAAGAGAAAGAGAACGAGTTTTTTTTGGGGAAATAAGAACATCTTATATAAGCAATATAATTTATTCTGTAGGTAAATGAAAATATATTTCTGAAACTCTTGAAAAAATACAGAAAAAAATCATGCTCATCTTTTAATAAATATATAATTATATAAAAATAAAATCTGAAATATCTAAATGATATATTTTTTTAGAAATTTATAATCTTATACATATATCTTATATATATCCCCAAGGTTTGTTGAAGTATTTCTGAAACACCCTATATATATGCATCGACAAATTGACAATTTATGTTATTTGTTATCAAGAGAACATCATATCAAACAAATAGCTAACATATATAGTAACTTTATAAGCTACAATTTTAAAAGTAAAACAGTTATAATTTCGATTAAAGAAAAGGAAATAATCAAATTCTCAAATCTCTAATTTTTAAATTTTAAAAACACAGCTCTAGCCTAGAACAAAATTATACACGTTTTACATAAAGTGTTAAATGCATTTTAAAAAAATGTAACTATTCGTTACAAATTTATATATTTTTTTAACAACTGTTTTCTTTATATTAATTGATTATTCTGTGTATAAAAGTATTGAGGTAAGATAATTTAACAATGAATATTTTACGAGAAATTTCATTTGTTGCATGTAAAATTATATATGATTAAAGTATATAAAATATCTTGTAAATAAACTATTCAATTTTCGGCCATATATATCTTATACATCCGCTTACAACGCCGAATATTGCGAGGAAACAATTTATATAAAAGAGGACGATATTTCTATCTAATAAAATTCAACGAAATCACACTCGCATTTGGGCTTGAAAAATGATCTTACCTAAGATTGAAAATTATCTTTTTTCTCTCTTAAAATCCTTTTATAAAATCCTTTTATCTGACATACTTTTAGAACGATCTCAAGTTTCGGAGAAAATATTTGACAACACTGTGCTAAACACTTTGTATATTATCTACGTGTTTAGTGGCGGATTTACCAAACTTGCCGCTCTAGGCATTCGAAATTTTTCCGTCTCTCAAACTTGGCTTTAAACCAATTTTAATTATCAACTACAAATTTCTAAGGTTTCAAACAATCCACCAAAATCCATTTTCCGTATATGTTTTGTACGGGCCCTTAAGGAAGAATAATTTCGTCGTCTTCGAAAATTGCTGCCCCCAAAAATCTGCTGGCCTAGACAGAGAAAAATGTATATTGTATTCAAGTAAATATTATTCATTTTAAGTATATCATAAGTTTGTATATTCGCAAATATATTATAAGTTTACCACAAGCATTAAATTTAATTGAATATACAATACTAGATAAAATAAATCATACACCTTTCAACAAATTGAATTTGTTAGTATACCTATTCTTTTAACAAGAGCAAATAGATTATTAGACAGGAAAGTCGAAGTATTTCAAAGTATTTAAATAAAAAGTATAAAAAAAATAGGAAATAATAAAAATTATGCTCAATTATTTTGTAAAAAATTTATTATTCAATATTGTTACATTTTGCCCAGGACAAAATAAATCATACACTTTTAGAAGTAATAGTTAACAAATAAATAAATAAAGTTAATTCTAATGGATTAGTACTTGGTATAGTCATCTTTAGCTTTCAATACCGCTTCCAGTCGGCGAGGCATACTTTCGACTAATTTCTTTAAGTATTCAGAATCAATTTCTTTTCAAGCCTTCTGGAGTGTTGCATAGGACGATGTCTTGTCACTTACGTTCGTTTTATTCACGTTCACGTCCAAATAAGCCCACAAAGTTTCAATTGGATTAAATCTGATGATTGTGGCGGCCATTCGACCAGTTTTACCTTATTAGATTTGAAAAATGCAGTGATTTTCTTCGTCTTATGCTTAGGATCATTATCTTGCTGAAAAATAAAGTTGTTTTCTAAATCCAATTTCAAAAGAGATTCTTTCAAATTCTCGCACAATACATCAATATATCCTTCTGCAAAATATGGAGGCGGTAATATTATAGTATGGGGATGCTTTATATGGTCTGGTATCAGTAATTTGGCTCGAATTGAAAGCATCATGATGGCAGAACGATATATTAATGTATTATGCGAGAATTTGAAAGAATCTCTTTTGAAATTAGGTTTAAGAAACAACTTTATCTTCCAGCAAGATAATGACTCTAAGCGAAGAATAAGGCGAAGAAAACCACTGCATTTTTCAAAACTAATAAGGTAAAACTGGTCGAATAGTCGCCATAATCACCAGATTTAATCCAATTGAAACTATGTGGCTTATTTGGACGTGAATGAAACGAACGTAAGTGACAAGACATCGTCCTATGCAACACTCCAAAAGGCTCGGAAGGAAATTGATCCTGAATACTTAAAGAAATTAGTCGAAAGTATGCCTCGCCGACTGGAAGTGATTTGATATTGAAAGCCAAAGGTGGCCATACTAAGTATTAATCATAATTAAAATAAACTTTATTTATTTGCCAACTATTACTTCTAAAAGTGTATGATTTATTTTGTCCAGGGCAAAATGTAATAATATTGAATAATAATTTTTTTACGAAAGAATTGAGCATAATTTTTATTATTTTATATTTTCTTTATTTAAATACTTTGAAATGCTTCGACTTTCCTGTATCTAATAAGCTATTTGCTTGTTAAAAGAATAGTTATACTAACAAATTCAATTTGTTGAAAGGTGTATGATTTATTTTGTCCAGTACTGTATTCTGAATTTTAGTAAGTGCAGTATTTTTGAATATTAAATTAAAACAAAAATTTGGTTTGCTTACTACAAGAGTTGACGTAAAGTAAGTTTGATTTTTCTTTGATACAATTTTACAATATTCTTGAAGACAAAATAAATTCTTCTTTTGAGTACATGATAAAAATATCATGAGATTTTCTAACACTTGTGATGAGTGAGATTTTAAGATTATTATCAAGAATATATTCTTTGTTGAAGAAAACTGTTACTTAAAAAAAGAAAAATAAACTGACTAATCGCTTTTCTTGGCAGTAGAATGATATTTTTCTCTGTGAACGCTTCAACGTGATTAGCTATTGATAAAGCCGTCACTGCGTGTTTACGAAATAAAACAAATCATGATCTAATACATTTCCTCGAACGATTATAATTTTTTAAAGATAATCTAGAAAAATAGAAAAATGAATCATGCCGTATTATCGCAAGACGGGAAGGCGCTTTAATTCGCTCGGCAATGACGCCAATTCAAACGAGAGATCCGAGACAACGACTTCTTACCTCCTTCCATTATATCCCGATGACACGTATACGGCACTACAGCGCAGAGAATCCATTGTTACCGGAGAACAAATAACACTGGTCAACAAAAAAAATAATTTTAACTTTTTCCTCTTATAATTTTGCAGTTTTGAGCTTATTTAACTGTACTGATTTCGAGTACGACAGTAGTTTCTTTTTTAACAGCTCTTGTTTTTTTAATATTTTTAAACTACCCTCTTTAGACATCACGTGCAGTTTTTTTACTCGACTCAAAATTATTATTTTTGTAACTTTTGATATGTCTTCGGAGACGTTGTTTACATAATCCAGGTAGTCTTTGTTACATTTGTGGCGAATACATCTTTCAAAAATATCGAAAACCTATTTCGGAATTAATATCTTATAAACAGGGTTGGGTAATAACTAGTTGATTAGTTAAAAGTTAAAAAAAGTTAAAAAGTTAATAATTTTTAACTCAACTTAGTTATTTTAAAAAGAGTTAACTTTTAACTTTAACTAATTATTTTTAAAACACATAAACTTAAATTTATTAACTTTCCCCCCCAAATTTATTTAATGATTCATATTATTATTATTTAGAGTAATCTAATTTTAAAATTACAATCTAATTTAATATAAAGTGAAATAATGCTTTTCAAAATTTTAACTTTTATCTTAACTAACGTTAATTTAATCTTAACGTAACTTTTATTGAATTAATTTTTTATTTGTATAACTTTTAACATAATTAAATTAATTTTTTAACCCATTAACTTTAACTTAATTTAGTTTACAAAAAAATATAAACTTACCCAACCCTGCTTATAAATAAAAAGAAGTAGAGCTGATACAACTAAACTAGTATTTTTCTCGTAATCAGTGCCTTAGATATAACCTATAATATTGTTAAATGTCAGGAAAAAATTTGAGTGTTGACCAGTGAGTAATTCTCGCCGTGTAAATCGAAAATAAAAACGCGAAACGTCGATCCCCGTCGCATTAATCGCACGTGCTGCGCTTTCATTCACGCCGACTCTCCCCTCCCTCCCCGCCGCCTCGCCTCGTCGACGCTGCCGAGTAGCGCGCGCGGCGATTGGCCGGCGCCGGTGGGCCGGTGACGCCGCCGCGATCCCGATTGGTCGTGCGCTTACTCCCGCGTACTACGCGCGCCAGAGTGGAAGCGAGCGCGCGCGGTGCCGGTTGCCAACAGTATGAATAAAACCGAAGCTCAGGTCGGGGCGCGCGCGAGGAGCGAGAAGCAAGACGCTGCGAGACGTCTCTCGAGGTCTTGAGGTTAGGCCAGGCAGTTCTCTCGTGAAGTTTGCGCCGCGAGCGTCCCGTTCGATTTCGATTCTATCGCAATATGGCCGTCTCGTCGTCCACGCGGTCGCTGCCGTCGACTCGCCAGGCTGCTCGTGGATCGCACATCAATTATACTGTGGTCGTGATTTTGATGTATATGCTGTTGACGAAAGGTATCGATCAAACAAGCGCGCGAGTAATCCTCTCCCCCCGCCCTCCCCGTCCTTGCGCGCGCGCGCGCGCGCGCGTATCCGCTGTTCTGTTGTTGCACTCGAAAACAGGATGCGGGTTTATTTATGACGTTCCGACTTGGAGATATGTGGTGTTATTTGGGATGTGCGTGCGCTGTTCATGACTGACAGTCTGTCTCGAGTCTTCCTGTTGCCGCGTTTTCTAATATTTATCCATGTAAATTCACCTGTATCCGTGTTTTCTTCCGGTCTCATTCATGAAATTTAACTTCCCAGCGAACAAGTGATATTTATGTAATTGTTAGTTGCAATTTCTTATTCGACGATGTAACTGTTACATGTTATATAACTGTTACATAACATGTAACAGTTATATTATTGAGTGGAAAATTACTATTAATAGTTATATAATTGTTATTTGGTGTTTGCAATATTAATAGCAATATTAATAATATTGCAAATAATAATAAATTTTGCAATATTAATAACAATATTAATAATATTGCTATTAATATTGCAATATATTAATAGCAATATTAATAATATTGCTGTAACATTGTAATATTGCCACAATATTACTGCAATGGTCTGTGCTGTATGGGACAATTTATGCAGTTTTTTTCTTCAGCATTTTTTTCTTCATGATAGACTCTTGAAAATATTTATATGTCAATCTCTTTGTCATTTCGCTTAACATTACAGGAATACATCTGATATATGATTGGAAAAAAATTTTGCAAATAATATTTACAATAATACTTCTGGTCGATCATTGCAGTCCACTCACGTGTATATTTATTAAATGAATGTTTTTATATAATTGATTTTTTGTACAATAAATAATGGTGTAACAATATTTACACTAGACTCATATTGCTTGTACCAATTTATATATTTAATTTTATATTCGTGAGTCTGATATTTTTAATAATACTTCTAGTGTATGTTGAAAAATTTGGAATATATAATACATTTTTAATTCTCATTACAGATGGTACGAGTATTTCCTTGAGTCATCATTATGCGAGTCATATAAATTATTACGATGCAACAATCAATAATAGCGGTAATATAAATCCTGTAGAGAAATTTTATTTGATCAGCGAACAGAAGTGGCATAAGGATACAGTAGTGCCAATTTCCTTATTGCCATTTACAAAGGGAATGCCTGCGAGGTCTCATCACAGGTGATTCATCACAGAATACTCCGATATATCAAAGATAATTTTATTCGGTTAATATGAAAATATATATATATATATATATATTAAGATATATATTTTTCTTATATTCTCTTTATCTCAAAAGTATTTTAAATACAGGATCCGACAGTCCATGACTGGACTGGATGATGCTGGAATGGATCTCCAAGTGGCTCAACTCAGCAGTCAGACAGACAAGGGGGTACATTCCAGGACTGCTCTATCATGGCTAGATTGGCAACTGCCTTTCTTTGTAACGCTTTTTGTCATCACTGGCACTATTCTTTTTACATTTCTAGTAAGCGCATATTTATACACATATTTCCTTGTGTATTACGTAAAGAAACAAATATATGGACATCTTTTTTCTCTTTCAAAAATAAGTGATTATTTTAAAAGCTTATAAAAATTAGTATGAAATTTATTTGCAATATTGCATTATTATAGTCATATAAGAATAAACACTTTAATAGATCTTGTTATGGCTGCGGAAACAAATGTCGCGTGAAAAAGATACTGAAGATGGCGATCAGCAGGATTTAGTAGAGGAAGGTGCCATTTGCCAGTCAGACAAGTATAGTAAAGACACAAAAGGATCTGTAGAAGCTAAATGGGTTCATGAAGTATTTGCGAAGCAATCTACATCCACGCATTCGGTACAACCAGTAGTTCAAACATCAGGTTTACCAGAGGTAAGAGAAATCTATTAATGTATAATTTAAATATCTATCAAAGTATTGCAATAGGAATATTCTATCCTTTTACATTAACAGGTGATGTCCGTCGCGACACCTGAACGTAGACCAGAAGCGATACGTATAAAGGCGAAAGGTCTGTTGGAACGACGTGGATCGAGCACAAGTTTGACCATAGAATTAGCAACAGCTCCTGAAAGTCCGCCACATATGGTTACTCCTACTCGAGAATGTACAGCGGAGGAATATCTGCTAAGCGCAGGAAATGTATTATCGAGAACTCAACTGAAGAAAGTCGTTACTGATCCAGCAACATTGTACAAAGAATTTTGGGAGGTGCCATTAAATCTCCCGGAGAAAGTAGACGTTTGCGGCTCAGGAGTGAAGAATCGATATTGCTCCGTTTTGCCAAATCCGCAATCGAGAGTGATTCTACCAGGTTCCTCCGACGATCCTCTTGCTGGCTACATAAACGCCAACTACATTCGTGTATGTAACGTAATGTAATTATACAGGGTGTTTCAGACCACTACCACCTATTTAAAAACTAGAGAAGTGGTTATTTCAAAAAAGTAAAAACATTTTCTTTATAAATCGGGTGCGCTCTATCGAATGGTGATATTTTTAACTTCTGGTTCCGGCCGAAAATAGGTGATTCAGACCGGAAGTGTATTTTTTTAAATGGAACCCCTTATTTTTCATTGCACATTCTTGTAGCTTACCTCGAGAGCTTTCCAAAACACTATAATAAATTATTTTTCCATGAAGTACTTTTCGAGATACGAGGCTTGAAATCATTTCTTAATTTTACATAAACCATAAAATATCTTGTAAAATATTCATTTTTCGATTATCTTACCTTAATACTTGTATGTACAAAATAATGAGAGAAATCAATTGGTGTAAAGAAAACACATAGTTGTTTCTAAAAAAAAAATGTAATTTGCAATTAACAATTCCATATTTTTTCTTAAAGTAACTGTATGTTTTCTTTACATCAATTGATTCCTCTCATTATTTTGTACATAAAAATATTATAAGATAAGATAATCGAAAAATGAATATTTTACAAAATATTTTATGGTTTATATAAAATTAAGAAATGATTTCAAGCCTCATAACTCGAAAAGTACTTCATGGAAAAATAATTTATTACAGTGTTTTGGAAAGCTCTCGAGGTAATCTACAAGAATATTCAATGAAAAATAGGGAGTTCCATTTAAAAAAATACACTTCCGGTCTGAATCCTCTATTTCCGGCCAAAACCAGAAGTTGAAAATATCATCATTCGATAGAACGCACCCGATTTATAAAGAAAATGTTTTTACTTTTTTGAAATAACCACTTCTCTAATTTAAAAAATTTTTTTGGATGTTACGGGTGGTCTGAAACACCCTGTATATATAAGATTGATTGCGCGAAAGAATACAATAAACCGAATAAATTATAGGGATATGACGGCGAAGACGGTAAATATATCGCGACACAGGGACCATTAGCTCACACGGTAGCGGATTTCTGGAAAATGATTTGGGCAGAAAAAGTTCCTGTAATTGTCATGATAACTAGATTGCATGAAGCATCTAAAGCCAAGTGTGACGCATATTTTCCCTTCGACGTGAACAGCCGTATACAAGCTGGATCTTTCACCGTTATCGTCAACTATATTGATGTGAAGAACGGATATACCATTAGAACTATAGAAATCAGGCATGAAGGAGAAAGGAGGCATTTGCAGCATTATTGGTATAATTATTGTTTCCAAATTATTTCTTTTCCAATATTCTAGTTTTTACTTGAATCCTTGTAATTTCTCAATCTTTATCTTTTGAACGAATCCCAAGCTTATCTTCATATTTATTTGATAGCTGACCTGTAGTTCGCTACTCGTCTAACCCATCCGGTATGATTATGGAACAGTTGTTGGAAGATAAATCTACATTTATATATTAATAGTAATCGATCAGACGATATTTAAGCGAAAACTATTGTGATTATTGTAATAGGAACTGAAGAGAGAGAAAGAGAGACCTTTATAACTTTTCATTGGATTTTATGCATATATTAAAATCTGAAATATATCAATTAGGTACGATTCATGGCCGGATCATGCCGTACCTCAAACTGCAGACGCACTTGTTAGCATGGCTGCGGAAGTAAACTCTTTACCAGGGCCAGCAGTCGTTCACTGTAGCGCGGGTATAGGACGAACCGGCTGTTTTATAGCGTTAGCGATAGGAATGATTCAACTCATAAGAGATGGAAATGTCGACGTATTGGGTATCCTATGTCAAATGAGGTAAGACAATAAAAGCTTTATACAAGGTGTTTCAGATCACCCGTATCACCCATTTAAAAACTAGAGAAGTGGTTATTTCAAAAAAGTAAAAACATTTTCTTTATAAATCAGGTGCGCTCTATCGAATGGTGATATTTTCAACTTCTAGTTCCGGCCGGAAATAAGCGATTCAGACCGGAAGTGCATTTTTTTAAATGGAACTCCCTATTTTTCATTGCATATTCTTGTAGCTTACCTCGAGAGCTTTCCAAAACACTATAATAAATTATTTTTCCATGAAGTACTTTTCGAGATACGAGGCTTGAAATCATTTCTTAATTTTACATAAACCATAAAATATCTAGTAAAATATTCATTTTTCGATTATCTTACCTTAATACTTTTATGTAGAAAATAATGAGAGGAATCAATTGGTGTAAAGAAAACATACAGTTGTTTTTAAGAAAAAATATGGAATTGTTAATTACAAATTATGCAAATTAAGAAATGATTTCCTCATAACTCGTAAAGTACTTCATGGAAAAATAATTTATTATAGTGTTTTAGAAAGCTCTCGAGATAAGCTACAAGAATATTCAATGAAAAATAGGGGGGATCTATTTAAAAAAATGCACTTCAGGTCTGAATCACCTATTTCCGGCCGCAACCAGAAGTTGGAAATATCACTATTCGATAGAGCGCATCCGATTTATAAAGAAAATGTTTTTACTTTTTTGAAATAATCACTTCTCTAGTTTTTAAATAGGTGGTACGGGTGGTCTGAAACACCCTGTATACATTAAACATTTTTCAATTTCGCAAATACACTAGTATTTTTAATATTTTAGATACGACAGGGGAGGAATGGTGCAAACAGCTGAACAGTATGAATTTCTTCATAGAGCACTTTATCTTTTTGAGCAGACGTTAGACAGTAAACCGTCGACCTCGAGCGATTGAATGAATATTATTTGATAATATTCTTTTCCTTTTCTTTTTTTCCCTGAAAGAGGATTTACTTTTGCCTATGAGAATACTTCGCGCAGATATACATACATAAATGTGTGTGCATGTGTACTGCAAAACCGTTAATTCCTAATGAAACTTAACGGTCAATCTGTGAACCAGCTCTCCCATCTTTATCTCGATATTCAAACGAGTTGAAACTCGTTTAACAAGCTGCCATTTACTACTGCCATGACAAATCGTTGACAATTAATATCAATCGCAAAGCTCAAGAAGAAAAAAAGGAGTGCATTTCTTTAAGCAGTGCTTCTCTTGAAATTAAGGTATTACAAATAGCTTAATATGAAGAAAGAATACTTATGTTTATAGAGTGACGAGCACGATATGAATCGCGCGGTGCATACGCTTAAATCAAGATCAGATTATTTTATATATATATAAGTTATATGAAGTGTTATAGAAATATAAAATCTTGAGACATACGACGGCGATAATACATTCGCAATTCGTATTATAAAATTTGTATTTAAAGATCAGTTACTCGGGATCTATAATTTTCTATACATTCCTCGTATAATTGTAAAATAGCTAATATAAGTCCTAATTAACTTTTAAAGCGCAAAAATGTATAGAGAGAAACGTTTTTGTGGCTATAGCAAATTATACTAATATATGATTCTTCATTATAGCACCGTAACAAAATAGATATGTATGAAAAAATTTACTAAACTGTTCCAACATATAAGAGCTAAAGTTAATCATAATAATTACAATACTTTGATGGAATTATAGTTAAATCATAACACACGAATAGCAGTGAAAATATTATAATTACTAATTTATGGGACCCAAATCCATTAGATATCGTCCTATTTCTAGTTCCTATTTGATTTTAAATGTCCTTTTCTGATTTTTACTTTTGTTTAATTCTCATTGACTAAGACTGAACAAGGGTAGTACAATACTATAATACTATAATAATAGAAAAGAAAAGAAAATTGATCTTGATTAAAAGATCTGAATAAATATGTATGTGCATAATTTATCATTAAATTAATTTATAATATGTACAATTATTATATTAAATAGTTGTTAATTTTGTATAGCTAAATACAAATTAAATCTATCATCTATGTCTAATTTATACAAGAAATGAATTATTATGAACATTTAAAAATTGAATATAGCATATTTCATAGTTCTCATGTAAATTACATTCATTTTTTGAACATTTTGGAATAATTTTTTTCTCTATGTAAATGTTAGCTACCAATAATTTTTAAATAATTAATAGTTGAAAATATAAGAGTCTTCTCATAAATTAAACTTTAGAAATATATTAGATAACAAAATCAAATTCTTCAATTAACTTCAAAATTTTATATTTTCAAAACTTGAAGGCTTACAATTAATGTTAAAGATATATAATATTAGCGTTTAAAAATGAAATATAAAGACATATAATATTATGGATTTAAAAAAATCATGAAAAGCGAAAAAAATCTTTTCTTGGTATTTTTATTATTTAACTTTTCAAATTGGCCAAAGAATAAGCCATTAAGCAATTAGATTTTGATTGAGATCTTGTTAATATGCATGGCACTTTATATGTACATAATATATTTGCTCTTATATATAATAATAATTTAATTTATATTCATCTTTGTCAAATTGATATTTATTTAATATAATAATTGTTTAGGTTACAAATTGATTTGATAATGAAAAATTTTTAGCGGTTAAAAACAAATTTTCATTCCAAAAGAGTATATTATATATAAAGAAATTAGTAAATTATATATATATATATAAGTATTTATAATATAATTCTTATTCTCTTGCATTTTATGTAAAAAGGTGTATTTATTTTTATTTTATAATAATAATAATAATTATATATATATATAAATATATATTAATATATATATATATATAAATGGAATGTTACAATCAGTTGATAATTATCGAAAATGTTAATGTATTTTTGAAAATGTAAATATCTGTTATTTACACTTCTAAAATATTACACTTCGATAAAATTATTAGTTAATATTTTAATTTAAAGCTTATATATATATATATATATATATATATATATATATATATATCAGTTACATATTTTATTTAAGTATGCGATGTTAATTGGATCATGTCAATATGAATTTGGATTATCACCGCGAATTTACATGACAATAAACTATTATTGCACCATTAATATTTTTTATTAGTTGAAAGCATTTGATTCGGTTGCTAATATCTTTTATGCTATTTATTAATAGAATAATAATCTTACACACAAAACACACATACACAAAATTCTCTCAATAATATCAACTCTAATTATATTTAAAATCCATGATGTATATTACACATGTATTTGCAAGATCTTAGTGATTATAATGACTAGTTCTCTTCTTATATAGTAAAATTTTAACCATTTCTCGATTTATCTTCGATAAACTCAATCTATCAGTTAAACAGAATAAGACGTATTTGGCTTTTGTGTGTACAAAAAAAGTATAGAACACTTTTGTATGTGTACTGCAAAAAAATTAAAGCCCTTTAATATTCTACGTAATTCACATCTAGTAATGAGCGTTCGGATCTTTTTTCGAAAATTTTTCATACATATAATAATTCAAACATATAAAAATTCAAATTGCTTTGAACATTATTTGCAAAGAAAAATTTTTGAAAGTCTCAAAAATTTATTTCGAAAATGTTGAAAATCTTCAATACTAGAAAATTTTTTTTTGTATATATGTATATTTATATGATATTTAAATGTACTCAATATATATATATATATGTATCTGAAATGTATAAGATGAAGGAGCAATTACCATTTACATTTATATAAAATACCGAGTGGATTTCAACAATAACATATGTCAATGGAAAAAATATATTTTGTTACTATTTACATGCAAAAATAAGATCTTAGTTATATTGTTGAATCTATATATTTCTCTTATTAGTAATTGGATATTAATTTCCCTTATTAATAATTAATGATATTAAAGATTTGTTTTATAGAAAAAATTTTTACATTGTTAATTTTGATACGTTTATAGAAAGAAAAAGGAAGATAACATTTATTCTCAATATTCCATATTCTAAAGTATATTCTTTAGTTTTTATTTATATAAAAGTTTCGCTAATATAAATTTATAAAACATTAATTCAATTATATATAAATAGATAATTATTTATAAAATACATTTCTCGATTGAAAAAACATTTATCAAACACATTTGACTATCTCTTGGATAAAAATTTGAATTTTTACATTACATTTAATACTAATATTGTAATAATAGTGTTGATTTTTAAGGCTTTCAGAACTTTCAAATTTCTAAGACTTTTAAATTTTTAAAAATTTCTTGCTTTAGAATAATATACGAAATGATTTGAAATTTTCTCGATATTTGAAGTGATGTATCTAAATCCATTACTAACTATATCGCTTGTTATTCATCCAAATTATTGATACAATGCAAAAACATATGTGTATGTATACTTATATATATATATATATATATATATATATATATATATATATATATGTATGTGTGTGTGTGTGTGTGCATAAGTATACAGATATATATGTGTATTTGTATATATTAATGTGTACATAGATTGTACAGAAAGAAAGGTATATTTAAGAGAATATGTATTTGTGTAAGACAAAAAAATATATATTTATGAATGCGCAAAGCCGCAAGTGACTTAGCATAGATGTATAAATAAGTGATGGTAATAACAATAACAATAATAACAATGGTAAATAACAACAATAACACAACAATAATTTAGTAACCCCTTGGTGTTCAATTGTACTTATGTGATGTAATAAATGTTTATAGTATCCATGAACATGTATCAAATATTTGATATTGTAGCAAAGAATGAAGGAGAAGGGGGAGCAAAATACACACACATACATCTACATATACACATACATGTCTCTATAATTTTTCTAATTTTAATAACTTTTTATTTCTAAGAAAGTATGCATATCAAGAGTAACGTGTATATAATATTTTTTTAAAATTGTGACAGAGGAGGAGAAGAGAAAGAGAGAAATTGCAATTTATTCTAATTTTTAGTTATCTAGCTACGAATGCTATCCAGAATTGAAAACTTTTCATCTTTTCAGTAAGAATAAATAAAAAATTTTAGAAATAACTTAATTGATATTCTTCGCAGTTAATTTACGATATCGGTATTTTATCTTTTTACGGGGTGGATAAAAGAAATTTGAATGATACAGCAATTGTATGATATTCTTAGAGATTTTTGGAGAGATTTAAAAAATACATAATTTTAATATGTAAAATTAATTTTTAATATGTAAAAATAATTTTTAATTAAAAAATACATAATTTTACATTCGAGCTTTATTTGAAAATACAAAATGTCTATTATTGCTTCGAAATAATACATTCAGTAAATTGTATAGGAAATATAATTTTCTTCTTTTTCTGAAATATTGTTTCGTATTTTATGAAATTCTGATAACCGTTCCATTCGAGTTTTCGTGTTTCTCGCGCGCGATTGTTCGAACAAGACAAATCTTAATCACGTGATCAGCTGTTTGCTTTGTCACATTGAAAGACACTAGACTTATATTTATCTACAGGCATGTAAAAAACGCGCTGCAGTAGAATCATTTAATTCTGATAACACCGAAATCAAGCTCGCTTGCTATTCTGAAATTTCAATTCTATTCTAATTCGATAAAATGGAAATGTCATTGCATGTTCCATCTTTCATTCACCTTCTCGCTTTACGCATGATCATATAGTCACGTGGAAAATGCTTATGTGGGAGAAAGACGCAAGAGGGGGGAATTTCAATGTACAATGGAACAGCTGGTCCAGAATAGCATGTCATTCAGGATAGCGAAGGATACAGAATAACGGGATTTTACTCTAGTTAGGGACGTTGAAGATTCCGCCAGTTCAGAGGCATTCGATGAATCGCATTTTAAATGCAAAATAGGTAAATGTCGCAATTTTATCGATTTAAGTAAAACGTATATTGTATGAACACCCATTGTATACGTATCGATATAATGAAAAAATAAAAAAATTGTCCTTTCAAAGATATATAAACTTTGTTATAAGCCGATACTGGGCTTAATAAATATTACATAAAATACATAATCGCATTAAAATATTAAATAGATTAATTATCAAATATAAATAATTTTTTTAAAGTTAATAGAAAGGGAAGAAAATATTTACAGACAATATATATATATATATATATATATTTATTTATTTATTGTAAAATTCTCTCTCTTATGAGATATTTATTAATTAATAAAATAATTTTTTATTGTTGTATTAAATATATATGCTTTATCTAACTTGATTTCAAATATCTGCTTATTATTGACATTATAAAAGGTTGTTATTGATATTATAAAAAAATACAATATCAACGTAATTTTTGCGTCACAAAAAGGATGGCTTTAATATTCAAATTCAAAGGATAATTTCCAGGATGAGAAACGTTCTGTATATTACTATCTAATAATTGATATTTAATTGTACATAATTATTTATTATATATATGAATTATTTATTTATTATATATTTATTTGTTTATTATATATTTATTAATTATATAATATATTCAATTACAAATAATTTCATAAATATATATGTGTATTATTTAGACTTATTAAATTTTCGCTTTTTTATCTATTCAAATGTAACTACAAGGCTCTTTTATCTCGTCATTTTATTACAAATTTCGTCTCAATAATTTTATTCTAATGACACCTTGGGCGCAGAATGTATGAAAATAATCAATTGCAATATTGTCGCAATATTGCTGCAATGTAACAACAATGGTCTGTGCTGTGTGGGATACCCACTTTACACATGTAATAAAAATGTCAATTATTAAGTGTCATATTAATTATTTAAGTGTTATTAATTATTTACTTATATATTATTATGTTCATCAATTAATGTTCAATTATACATAAATTTGCACATAGATTTATTATATTTATCACAAAATTTTCTTAGCTTTCCGTCTCAAATTCAAATTTAATAATAATAAATAATTTATACAAGATAATAATAATAAATAATTTATACAAGACTATCTCCTTCTATTCTGTCATCAAAGTACCCCTAGTAGCACAAAACATTGGCAACATATTACCTTGGCTTAATATTGGATATATTGGAAATGTCTTGGCCAATATTTCCCAATGTGAAACTAATATTGATTGTTAACAAAATGCAAGTGTTCTGCCAATATTGCAATGCCCATGATGACTAATATTGGCTACTAAATAAATATAAATGTGTTGCCAATATGGTTGCATTCATTATAATACTAATATTAGTTATGAAGTAAATGTAAATGTGTGCCAATATTGCACGTTCATGCATTATATGTGAGGTTTGCGCGTCGCCACTAGGTGGCAAGAAGGAAAACACCTAACCCGAAAGTGAGATTCCATCGAAAGCAGTATATAAGACTGCGGCAAAGGTCACGACTTATCAGTCAAAGAGTGCGAACCATTATAATCGCACCTCCTTTAGCTTTTGCGAGGAGCTCTAGAACTCCAAAATTAACCACGGTTAAATTAACCATGGTTAATTTTTTTTATGGCGAATTTCGTCATATATTAGAAACTGATCTATATCTAATGTAAAAATATTTGGCTATGTATAATTAGCCATTCTTAGTTAAAGATCAAAATAATACATTCATGCAATATTACAATTCAATATTGGCTCAAAATGAAATCGCGTCTACTTTGCAATATTGGACCAATATTGGAAATATTGAATATATATTGTTTAGCCCAATATTGCTCCAATAAAGTGTACTATTAGGGAATTTTTGCTTGCGTTCAATGGAAACTCGCGTTTAATTAAAGAGGTCCCTAGTATTGGTCCAATATTGCAAAGTAGACGCGTTTTCATTTTGAGCCAATATTGAATTGTAATATTGGACGAATATATTATTTTCATCTTTAACCCAAATTGGCTAATTATACATACCCAAATATTTTTACATTGGATATAGATCAGTTTCTATATATGACGGAATTTGCCATAAAAAAAAATTAATTGTCTGTAGTTAATTTATGGAGCTCTAAAGTTCTTCGCAAAAGGTAGAGGAGGTGCGGCTATAATAATCTGCACTTTTCCGACTGATAACTCGTGGGACCTGTGCTGCGACCTTATATACTGCTTTAGATGGAGTTCTACTCTCGCGTTAGGTGTTTTCCTTTTCGCCACCTAGTAGCGACGCGCGAAGCTCACATATAGTATGTGAACGTGCAATATTGCATTCATTTACATATTGCGTTCATTTACATTTACTTCATAATCAATATTGGTATTATAATGGATGCAATCATATTGGTAACACATTTATATTTATTTAGTAGCCAATATTGGTCACCATGGACACTGCAATATTGGCAGAACACTTGCATTTTGTTAACAACCAATATTACAAATATTAGTTTCACATTGGGAAATATTGGCCAAGACATTTCCAATATAACCAATATTGAGCCAAGATATACCAATATTTTGCCAATGTTTTGTGCTACTAAACTTTTGTGCTGTATGGGATCATTGCAGCAATATTGCAGCAACATTGTAATACTATCGCAATATTGCTGCAATGTAACAACAATGGTCTGTGCTTAGTGTTTGCTGATAATTTTAAAATTATCTAGATAAAGATAAAGATAAAAATCCGTAAATTTATCTTAGATAAGATAGAGATTATTTTACTTTTATTTAATCTAGATGAAAGATGAGATAATTATTGCGATAATCTAGATAATTATATAGATATTTTTGTTCATTTTATAAGACTATAAATATTTGTAAAAAATGTGACGCAGATTATAAATGGGATATTAAATACATATTCTTTCTCTTTTGCTAAAGAATATTTAAATAATAACAAAAAGGTATATAAATGATATGATAAATATTTATTTATTAATTTATATATTTATAATATATTTACAATACATTAATAATATAATAATCAATGTGTAACATACATATATCATTTTTATAAAATATACATTAATACATTGCACAAATTTAAGTAAAACAAGTACAAGATAAAGTATATTTATAACATTATTTTCCAAATAAAAAATATATTTTAGATATTTTAAATAGATTTTTAGAAGCTTGCTTGGAAAACTTCTGCATAATGAAAACGTCATCTTAAACAATTTTTAGATAAGATGACACATTTTTTATCTAAGATAAAGATAAATACTTTATATTTCTTCATTTATTATAGTTAAAGATGAAGATGATCCATTTCTTTATCTAGATAATTATCTAGATTATTTTATCTAGATAATTATCTAGATAATTTTATTTTATACCAGCAAATACTGTCTGTGCTGTATGGGAATATTCTCTGCTATATGGGAAAATTAATAAGCTCGACTTGGGAAGATACCAACACGCTCGGGGTCCCGCGATAAGTAGACACGGCGTTGCTCGCGTACGTACACACACACACATGGGATCCGTGTGCGCGTTGCATTACGTCTCTCGCGCGCGAGGCTTGGATTTTAGTCCGTGACACGGTATTACCGCGACTCGAGCGACTCGCGGAACAGTTCGCCGACTGACAGGACCGCGACTGGCAACATCCCGTGGCTGTTGCTCGCGTCGTCGCGAGCGGAAAAGCGGAACGCGCTGAAACGATCGCTGGCGCGAAATGCTTGTGCTCGCCGTGTATCGATATGCGTAGTCGGTAGTTGATCCCGCTCGTGTCCGATCGGATTGGTAGCGAGAGCGAGCGAGTGAGCGAGAGAGAGAGAGAGAGAGAGAGAGAGAGAGAGGAAAAAAGAAAGAGAGAAAAGGAGCGAGGTCTCGCGCAGGACTTTTGGGTTCGCGATTCGCTCTGGCTATGTGGGACATCGCGACGGAGCGAGTCCTCGTCGCGGCCGGAACGTCGCGGAATGGGGCCCGTTGATCGGGTCCGCAGCAACGGGCTTCGACGACCATCCACGGCGGAGGTATGGACGTGGACGGGGACGAGCAGACCCTCCAGGCGATTCTCGGTGAGTTTCCTGCGCGTCTTTTCCTCCTCACGCGGCCGATCGTCGTGAATCTCCAACGTCGTCTCTCCTCTTTCTTTTTATTGCTTCTTTCCTGCGTGACTCGAGATGACCTTCCCCGTGCAGCACAGACCATTGTTGTTACATTATGCGATGTTGCTGCAATCCAGACAGCACAAAAAGGCCAAAAGATGTCTTAAAGATGTCTAAAGGACTTTAAGACATCTTTAAGTCGTCTTTTAGATGTCTTTTGGACATGTGTGCTGTCTGGGAATATTGCTGCAATGTAACAACAATGGTGCGCTGTCGTGTCTTTAATAACGGTACCGCGCATTTTTCTGAGTCGCGATTCGTGGACGGTTAAGCGCGGATCGCGAACGAGCTAACATGGTGACAGCTTACGCGGAATGTCGCGCGAATTTGACACCGACACCGTTATCGTGCAGCTTGGCTACGCTCTTCCTCGACCACGCGTAAGCGCGTACATTGACCTTAAACGCGCACCGGATGCGTCTTCATCCTTCAACGTGAATACAGTTAAGAGGAGCAGCGAACGATGCGTTGTTGGTCCAACGATCTGCCTGGAATCGAAAGCGATGGAATACGATTCGTGGAATTGGCAGCACGTGAAACGTGGTGGGGCCGGAAGCACCGCGGTCTAAGGACTCGATTGCCGCTGGCGAGGTTCCTATTCCGTTTTGCTTTTTGCGTCACTTCTCGTTTAGAGGGAGAACGAGAAGAGCCGGTTTTGTACGGCCTAGGTGACAAGATACGTCATTTTGACGTTCCAAACTGGTCATTTTTGATCATATCCCAGACAGCACACATGTCCAAAAGACATCTAAAAGACGACTTAAAGACGTCTTAAAGTTCTTTAGACATCTTTTGGTCTTTTTGTGCTGTCTGGGATGTCGCCAAAATGACTGATTTGTTACACGACTTCATATTGACATCTTGATATAACATTATTTTGATCGTCATATTTTAGTCGTAAATTGACGATTATTTTATTATTAATACGATTAGTACATTAATCTCATAAAAAAATCTTTTACAATTTTTTCTACAAAATGACTTTCGCGATCAGACTTTAACAATTTTTCTTTCGACGCATGCGTTTATCTGTGCACGACTCATGTTGCTTAACCACTCAAGTGTTCATTAAATTAGTGCCCTGTGAAAATATTAGTTATCAATCGAGTGTAATTAAAGTGCCAAAAAATATACACATTTTTTTATAATGCAGTTGATTGGCAAAATATATTTTTATAAAACGCAGGCAACGAAAGATGTTTGTTGAAATTTTATATGATATAAAGTAATGTTAAATTCTTAAATGTCGTCAGTAGATAAAATAAAAGTGACACAGTGATTTCCTTATTTCTCATAATATAATAGTTAACGAAGATACTGTATGTATATAATTTTTGCTCACTTTTAGTTTTAAATTGCTGTAATTTACTGCTTATATAATACTAGAAATAATTTTTAGTTCACTTAATAAGGACCAAAATCCATAGTCGAAACGTTGTGATACATTACCAACCAATAAATTGCCAGTGTAGTTAGGTTTAGGTCGATTTAAATTACGTCTTTTATGATATGAAGTAAGTTTATTTATGATTAAATAAAAATAATAATAACAAATATAAAACTTGTAACCTATTTTCTTACCATATTTGTGTCTCCCAGCATTTTCAAATAAAGCAATTTGATCGATTCGAGATTCCTCTGAAGAATAGAATAGCTGTAATTGTTCAATGATGCTCTCGAATCGGTTAATCTGCTTTATTCGACAATGCTATTAAATACATCATTATGCTAAGAAAAAAACGTCAAAATATGGTACATGTCAAAAATCTGTGACATTGGACCGTCACTTTTACGTCACAAAAACGTCAAAAATAGTCAATGAATGACCAATTTGACCATCAAAATGACGTGTGCTTGCTACCTGGCTGTAATTGTTCAATAATACTTTCTAATCGGTTAATCTGTTTTATTCGACAATGCTATTAAATACATTATTATGCTAAGAAAAAGACGTCAAAATATGGTACATTTTATGATTTCAAAATGCGTACATGACATCAAAAATCTGACATTAGACCGTCACTTTTACATAAAAACGTCAATTCGTGACATCAATAATAATCAGTGAATGACCAATTTGAAACGTCAAAATAACGTTGCTCGCTACCTGGGAGATCATTCAGTCGATTTTGAGTTTTTCTTTCTTCTTTATTTATCAATCAGCAGTTGTCAACTGAACACGTGTTTCTTGTTGCTCGGTGAAATCGTCCGAGATTGAACATTTTTTAAGTAAAAATAAGAAACCTCTGCCTCCGTATTTCAAACTTCCAATTCTTTTACTTACAATTTTATCGAATAATTGAAAAACAAGAATCTTACCGACCACAAGTCGACAGTAATTTCACTCAAAGCATAACATGAAGAATTAATTAGGATGTGCATGAGTAGTAGTTTGCTGTATGAGGATTAAAGGAGGAAAATCGTACCGCTTATTCTACTTTGTCCTTGACTGCGGTTCCCCCCATCCCCTCTACTACGTGGAAAAATCACCTTCGCGTTACTTGTTACGCACTTCTTGATTTAATGCCTCGCGTCGATTTTCTTCGCATTCTCGAGAGCATCGAATATGTCTCTCTGTCCAATAATTGTGCGATTACAGCTCGCAAAACTTCGGACACCCTTCGAGTTGATACATCTCGTTCCTTCGCAGATATTTATATTTTCTTCGTGTGCACTCATGATTTACCGCGTGTTCTACGCCGAGTGCATTCACCTGTAACGAGTCCAGCGTGGCATTCTTTATGTAGGTCGGAGGTTGTAACGCGCGTAACGTCTCTCTCTTCTCTCTAGATGGATGTATCTCCGTCTCGTTTAGTGGTATAATCTTTAAAATGGAACTTTGTCATCACATCAAGTTTTTTCGGCAAAATACGATTAAAAAAGAAATCCTAAAAAATCGGAGCTTATAAATGAATTTAATTCAATTATACGGAAATTAATAAAGATGGGATTATTATTATGTTTAATTTTTTAATCGCAACGAAGGAAATTTCTTATATAATACTTGTTGCAAAATTAGATGAGAATTTTCAAGACTTAGAAAGTGTTTTTTTTCTGAAATGTCAGGGACTGGATTAGTCATATAAGGCTCAATATTTATGGTAATAATTATGAGATACTTTTCTAGCCGCGTTGCATATAAATTTTTTGTCCCCTCTTTTTTTTCTCCCGCGCACTGTCAGCATTCAAATGCTATTCTCCAGCCTATTCGTCAACTATTCCACTGTTCTTTCTACTACTGCTGGCTGCTGTTGCGAACCGATAGTGAAAGTCGCGTGGTGAATGTGCTTTTCCGTTTATTTGGAATTAATGGCTTGATAATTCACAGTACAACCTATAGACGGGCAATGTATCGTTACTATGCATTCACTTTTTGAGAATGTCCACCAGTCTATCCTAGAAAGAATATTTTTTTTCCTCGACCACGCTCCTGTCATTCTTTCAGGAGTCACATCTGTCTTTCGTGTCTTTAATCTGCCTACTTTTCAAATAGAATGCAATTAATAAGAACGCGTCATTTAGTGAATCATTCACTTCAGTTACTTTGTACAACTGAGAAAATCAGTTGGTAATGTAACATTCACATGTACTGCGCGCTTGCTTTTACATATATGTGACAGAACGTATCGTGAAAGATGCGACTTGCATAATGATTAAACACGAATAAAAAGATGGAATGTGACCTAATTTTATTTCCACGTTTCAAGTTATTTATTTATTCTTCCAGCCGATAATAATGATGAAACACCATTATACAGTAATAAATATTTAATTCTTCTTTACATTCTCATTGCTTTATACATTAATATTAAATAAATTTCATAATTGTGAGGAAAATCGGGGAAAGGAAGTGTATGTGTATAATCTTTTTGTTTTATTGTATTTATTCAACTATTTTATACACTCAAATTTTGTATGAAAATCCCTGATCTTCCAAGTATTTTTGTTTCCAGATGAAGGGAATATTTTTTAAAGATCTTTTAATGCAATTTTCTAAAATAAATTTTAGTAATTCATTTTGCTTGTCTGACTGTTTGCAATATAAAAGTAAAATTATGAAAGAGAGAATTTAAAAAAATTTTTTAAAATTTTAAATTTTTAAAAATTTTCAATTCCATGAGAATTCCAGGATTCTCATATTTTTTCAAAAAAGACATCATTATTTATTGGAGTAGCTTTTCTCCTGTGAAAGAGAGATTAGAGTAATGAATATAATACTGCTGAATTTCACATTCATCCGATTCGTTTATAAATAGTGTAGCAAGTGGTTCATAAGTTGTGTAGTTTATTACACTCGATATAATAATAGCAGTCATAAATTGTAATAAACGCTGTGTGTTATCGGGAGAATCAATTTACTACTTATGTACTTGGGCAAGTCGAAAATTCTCTCAATACATATTTGCTCCGAAAGCTCTACTGCAACTACGATTATTTATTAGTGACTTATCTTTTTTTTTAATTAATCGAAACTTGACCCTTGTGCCCTTCGTATTTCCTCGCTTCGAAGTTTAATCGAATTTGCCTGCGAATTATTTTTATACGCGATTATTTTACTGATTGTATCGATGGGATTTATTCGAGGGAGAGGGAGGGGGAGGGCGATCTCGCCGGGTTCCCTTCTATCGATCGCGACCTAAAATTTATTTTCGACCACGACGAACGTTTGCGACGAACTTAAATAAAACGATAATGAAAGCCGAGTTCGATCGCCGCGAGCTTAACGGCAATAGTTGAAGCACGCGGATGAATTATGGGATTTCGTCGCGCATAGCATGGCCGTTTAGGATGCCGCGCAAGCCAGAGGACGACCTGTGCCACCCACGAAAGCACATTGGTCGATGAAAAGCTGCGCGGGTCCGCCTTTCGCGAAAAGCTCGGGCATGCGCACTCTTCTCGCAACGTGTGGA